GGTGGAAGGCTCGAAGGCACTCCCTCCAGCTGTCAGGTATTTAGGCCCGTCCTAGCAGTCTAGCATCCTGTGGCCGTACCCAGTACCGAGTAAATCGCAATTATTTGGTAAGATCAGAGGATGTATTGGTAGAGAAGTCACTCGAGGTACAATATAAAGTCAACTTAGATTAGAATGACGAGAGGTGTAATTGAAAGACAGCAATGGGCAGCAAAGATCGACAATTGCAAATGAGGCTGCCATTATTGACCTCGAAGAAATCAAAAACAGCATTGAGCACAACAGCTGGCTTCCCGGAGACTTAAGGGCTTTCAGGCAACTCGGTGACCTGACCAGACAATGAAACTCCATTTTGAATAAAAGTCCGCAAAAGCTCCCATTTACCAACATCATCTAGAGAACCGACAGGCAAAAATAATGTTCCAACTTAAACGTTCGGACTCTCAGTCTAGTGTGTGGTTAATGGCTGATGCGTGGACTGGGAAGCAGGCAAAGTTAGTATATCCTCAATACTACTAAATACCGCAGAAAACACTCCAGACTGCTGGACAACTACGAACAGACTGGTCATTATTTCATATTGAAATAGAAACAACAAGCAGAAAAAGAGATTTCAGGTCACTCATTGGCGACACTGCACGGTAGAGACGCAGTGCAGACAGGAACGTTTTGAGAAGACACTCGGTAACCTAGTTGCTAGATACCTGTCACGTCCAAAAGCGACGGTAGGTAGCTCGGCCTTCAGTGAAGGCCAACTGCGGAACAAATCAGGCTCTCTAGTTTGACGAACTATAGAAAACCAGCGCCGAGTAGGCAAAGAACAAGTTGTACGAGGAGCTGCACACCCTCCTGGAGACTGTGCCGAAGCGAATAAGTTGATTGTCCTTATTGAATTCAACACTCGCGTCGGCACAGACCACACTACTTGAAGAGAAATGCCCGGTCCCCACGGTTTCAGTGGAACCAAGAACAATGGCCTGTTCGTCCTACGAATCCACGCAGAGCAGCGTCTCATCCTGACCAATACCTGCTTTCGCCTTCCGCTTCAGTACAAAGCGACTCGGATGCATCCGCAGTCCCGGCAGTGGCATCTCCTGGACTATGCCCCGTCAGGCGGTGTGACCAACAGGACGTACTGGTGACGAAGGAAATGTCACCTTATCTGCTCCTGCTCTCTGACAATGACTCTGCTGATGAATCCACGACAGATCTCGAAACGTCAGGTGCATAAAAGTTTTATCCCAGCGATCGAGTCGTTTTCTTTTCAATGCTCCACATATCGACGCCAAGGGCACCGAGGTCAAAAACTCGGACAATTTTGCATATCTTAGCAGCACACTATCTCACAACATCAGAACCCCCGAAGTTGTCGCCCGTTGGATCTCCAAAGCCAGCCAAGCCTCAGGCCGGCTCTGAGCCTCCGTGTGGAACCGCCATGGCCTATAGTTGTCAAAGAAACTGAAGATGTGCAAGACTGTCGTCCTCAAAACACTCCTGTACGTGGCGAAGACTTGGATTGTTTAATTCAACCAAGCTCTGAAGCTGAACCACTTCCACCTCAGCTGTCTCCGACAAATACTTAAACTTAAATGAGAGAACAGGATACCGGACATGGAAGTCCTGCAGAGAACAGGAATTTTCGGCATTCAGAACATTCTGAGGCAGATACAACTGCGCTGGAGCGGCCACCTGGTACGCATAGATTACCAACAACTATCCAAGCGACTGTTTTACATAAGTTTCGCCGTGGGTGATGGCCGCAAATGAGGAAAAAAGAGGCGCTACATTGACACTCTGAAGGACTCCCTGAAGCACCTTAAAATCAACATGGCGACCTGGGAGAAACACACCAAACAGAGATCTGTTTGATGGCGGAGGTTAAAAACTGACAAAGCTAACACCGAAGCTATTCAAATCGTCGCCAACAAGGCCAAAAGGAAGGCTCGCAAGTCCCAAATCCTTCCAGTCAGCCCGCAATGTCACCGCATCTTCCGTACACGCATCGGCTTGGTCCGACACAATGCACCATCCCTTCGACGGCATCCAATTCTGCGGCGTCAAACACTTCAACAGTCCCTCCAGTGTCCAACTCTCCGTCAAAGATCACCCTCATCACGAAAGCACAACCACCCGGTGCCTCGCTGCTATCGCACGCTCACTCCCCCACTGGCCGCATCTCGAACCAGAACGGACACCACACCCTAGCTCTTTTCACCCCCTCTCAGAAAAGTTATTTCCTGCCACCACCTCCATCACCAAACCTGACCCCTCTACCAGCACAGGGGTTCGGGCCTAATCCGTCCTCACTGCAATCGCGCATTCACCTCACGCGTCAGTTTGATCGTTAACTTGCGAATCTAACGCAGAGAGACCGATGAACTAGTGCCTGGAGTACCAACACATAGCTGAGACCGCCGACTTCACTGCCCCCGCACACTCACTTATCGCATGGGCCTACTATGTCGCATGCGCTTACACGAAAACCTGCGGTAAAACACCACTGGCTACACCACTGGATACACGCTGCCTGCATGCACGTTGAGCACTTTGAGGTTGGGAGCAAGCAGGAGTAGTGTGGGTATTCTGGGTATGCTGAAGACGATTTCTGTGCGTCGGATATGTAGAGGACAGACACAAGCCTTCTACCTTTTTCGTTCAGTTCAGTTCAGTTCAGTTTTATTAGGGAAATATAGGTAAATACCT